CTAGCTAACATGGGCTGTTCTGTGGCTGAATATGGAGTACATATGCCCCATCGGAAGCATAAGGAGGAATTTCTATGAGCTTTTGGAAATGTGGATTTGTACAAAGAAGTCCTATGATCTTAATGAATCCACTTTAAACGAAATTTGGTGAATACATCTCATATTACTGATTTAATGGTAGTCTCAAAACTCTACTTAAATACGAAAAAGAAGTAACTCACTCTATCAACAATCCCACCAAAGAATATGATATGGCAAAAGATCTGGTCTTCCTTGAAATTCACATCTGCTCTGTGACCAAAGGGCACTCGTGGCAATGTGGACTAGTGGTTAACGTGTCAAGCTCCCATTCTGAACTGTCACGGTTCGACTTCCGCTGGGGGTGTTGATACGACCGATGCGAGGTCGAAACTGCAGTCCACTCCAGCCGGGATGAGAACAACTTTTGGGAAAGCAAGGCTATGTGAAATCATTGGAAACATCAGCTCAATTCATATTATTGTGGGAACATTTTACTACCAGTCCTTCATCACCTTAAATGAAATTGGGTGAATACATCTCACATTATTATAGTGTAGACATAATTTATCAATCAAAGGTATGAAGACCAAGATGATGTGTCTTTTTGTGTGGTGGTCGCAGCCTCCTTTCGTTCATTTTCATTCATTTCATTAAAACTCACATAAATACCTAACCTAGTAAAGTGGGGCTGATTTACAAATCCCACACCCGCACTTTTATAAACAGGATGCAAGGACAACTGGAGTCAGCCGTAGTCTTATGATGAGATTAACCAAAACACATCTTCTTCTCCACAACAATGTTATCTCAGGAGATTCATAGAAACCCACATACTCTTTGAAGCCTTTCTTAAGCAATCCTCACCGGCACTTGCGGTACCTCGGTTTGTACGACATGATTCACACCAGCTTGCTCATTGCGATTGTTGTCCCACTTTTGGGCGTTCCGATCCGTATTTACCATAAAACAGCTTTAAATACATTTTTTATTTCTACACTTTGCCCCTACGCATGCCTGTCTCTCCCAATACGCCTAAACTCCTCTGTCTATGCCTTATTTTCTAAACGGCCCATCTATTCATTTCATCTGCCCACCTCCTCACCCACAGGTACCCATGTGATGGAGGGCTCCGGAAAGATGCTTGTGATTGCCGTGGGCCCCAACTCCCAGGCCGGCATCATTTTCGCCCTGCTCGGTGCTGCCGACGGGGATCCGACAGCAGCGGCGGCCGTGGCTGCAGCCGACGGTGTCATGCCGGAGGCCGGCAAGGCCGGCAAAAAGGGCGGCAAAAAGGGCGTCAAAAAGGGAAGCACGCGGCAGATGAAGAAGCCTATCAAGGACTCCGCGACCAAAAATAAGTCGGGCAACAAAGAGAACATGGGTGAGGCTAGCTCAGAACATTTGTGCACGGCCATTTTTTGAATAACTTTGCTACTGTTGCATGACTATCCATCTCGAAGGAAACGTTGTTTGGAGGAATTTTGGCGAAATGGCCTCACCGCGAGCTGAAGGAGGATTGTCGCTGAGTGAAGATTGTTGTATGGTGCCAGCAAATCCTCGACCCCGAGGAACCTGTGTTAAGCCTTTGTTTGTACCACCATGACCGACTTCATCAGAGCAGAAATCTATTTTGTAGATATGACGACCAAGTTTGTGTGGCCGTCTGTTTGGTCGCAGTCTCCTTTGTTCTTACAGTCTTGGCTCGGCCTTGTTTTCTCAACTTGATCGGAGCGTCATGGAGACCTTGTGGAACGTACCCAGTTCCGTGTCCTCTGCCATATTATTCGTGATTTCCAGCATTAAACCATTGGTACATTCCCAAATGTCTCGCCGGCTCCAACTTAAGCACGGAGTTATCATCAAGAGGGTATAGAAGAAAGTTTTCCACAGGTTCATTGGGGTCGCAGAATGATGAGTCGATGACAACCTTTTCTCCGCGGCCGTCCTCCTTCGGTTATTAATGAGGCCATTTTATAACTTCCAACCAAATGTTCCTTCGAAATGGAAGGTCATGTCACAATGTATCTCTGAGGAATTCTTCGAAACC